TCTTCTAGTTTCAAACCGAGTAGAAACTGCGAGATAATCAATTTCGTAAGGGATAGTTTAAACATGGTGTCGATTTAAGTTGTAGAGCATTAATTTGCATAACGTTTTTTATGAAAGTGTATTGTGTCTCAACCCCGCGTGGGACAATAAAACAAAACTGCATAGTTATGCTTTTGACTTGAAAGAATAATGCTCGTTTGCCTATAAGATTGCAGAATGCGCGTATCGTCATCCATTTGTCACCCTATGTCTAGGGTGGGAATCCTGAAACACATTTCTATTCCGTTGGAATACGAGTTAGTCTTAATAGCTTAAGCCTTCACGACTACAAATAGATCTTTAAGGAGATTCTTTTCTAATAATTGCTCATTGTCTACAAAATTTATGGGCATGGGGATCAGGTGATTTCATACAGGTATCGTCAGCTATTGCTCGAATTATTCATTTTTGGTAGCCAGAATATAAGTGTGCTTTCCAATTCTGTTGTTTAATCTGTGAATACGTATCTTTTCCAAATTTTCACAGTATTAATATCCAGTGACTGGTAAATTGTAAAATAGGGAGGCAGTGGTGGGCCAAGCCTCGTAAAATTGGAAAGAGTGGCTCCCTAGACATGCAATTTCTCAGCGCTGCTTGATGAAAACACGGGAGAAAGAAGTAGGGAACGGATTAAGAAGACGTTATTAGTGCTAAAGTGCTTCAGTTAAATTTCCAATCATCAGTATTGCCGTTAAATTGCTACTTTTAACAGGTCACTTTTCGCAGTTGGTGTGGAAAGATACCAAATTTGCCGGTTTTGGAGTTGCAAAGACAGCCGATGGGCACGGCGTGTTCGTTGTCGGCCAGTACGATCCCCCAGGCAACGTTATGGGCAACTGGGGCAGTCAGGTTCCATGCCCCCTGAATAGGAAGGTCGTCGTGCCTACAGCCGATGCGCTGTGTAAGTCAATTTACCAGACCTGAGACTTATCATTGTTTGACTTAAAAAACACGCTACTTACTAAATTTAAGCAGCATGTTTATAAGCTGGAAAATAAAATCAATGAGATCGAGCCATCACGGTCAATGAGCATTCTAT